GGCTGGTCCTGAATTTGCAACAATCCCCCTGCCTCAGCCTATTGAGTGCTGGGATCACAGGCATGCACCACCATGTCTCGCTTCAATTCCTACTTTTTCTTGATGCTACCATGAATGGTATTGTTTTCCTAATTTCTTTCTTGGTGAATTCATTATCGATATACAGGAATGCCACTAATTTTTTTCATGTGTTGATTTTCTATCCTGCTACTTTGCTGAATTTGGTTATTAATTCTGGGAGTCTTTTGGTGTCATTGTGGGGCATGTGTTCAGCAACCCTGGGTTGATGGAATAAGTGGGCCTGTGTCATTTTTGTAGTGGTAACATGGATTTCCATATTCTGGATATGCCATATTTGTCTGTCTGCTTGTATGGATATTTAGTTATTTAGTGTCTGTCTGTCTGTCTGGCTCTCCCTCCTCTTCCAGTAAGTACTGAAATATAACAGAGGGTCTGTGCATTGAGCTATCCCCGGCCTTGTTTATTTTTTATTTTGAGACAAGAGTCACACTAAGTGACTACACTGGCCAGTCTGGACTCCATCTTTCAGTCTTCCTGACTCAGCCTCCGAGAGCACTGGGATTCTAGGTGGTAGTGGCAGCCTGGTATTGACTTTCTTTTTCAAGAGAGAAGTCACTCTATTGTATCATTGCACACATACCTTGCTAGTGATGTGGCCGGAAGTCAAGTCTGTGCCTGAACTGTAAGAGGCCGTGATGGACAGGGCCTAAGGTCACCAGCCCAGTGCCCTGGGGAGGGCCATGGGGACAGACTGGAGATGGGACTTTCAACCTTAGGAGGCCCAGTCGGGCTGGGTGAGGGAAGTCTGTGCTGCTGGCCCCTGTGTAGCTTCTACCCTGTTCCCCGGTCACTCATATGTGGGACCTTTGAACAAACGCTGGGGAGGGGAAGCGGGGTGGGAATGAGCTATCCTGTCACCCTGAGTGCTGAGAGGCTCCTCCAACAGTGAGTGGCATTTTGAGACCACCCGTCCCATTTGCTTGCCTTTCCCTGCCCCCAGGCTGGGAAATACATATCTTTTCCAGGCCTCTCATTGGCTGGCCAACCCATGTGGAGCAACACGAAGGTCTTGCTTTCTGGTAGGATTTCTCTTCAACACCTCAAGGCTTCCCCCGGGTGTGTCACGCAGTGGCCATCCACCTCGGGCTGAGCCAGACACCATGTGGATTTGCATTTTTCTTTTGGTGTTTTGTGGGACTGAAAGCGGAGCCTTTGCACTGAACTATATCCTCAGCCCCTCTCCCTCCTTTTGTCTGGTGACAAGGTCTCACTGAATCCCCTCCTTCACTTGCAATCCTCCTGTGTCAGCTTCCCTCAGTGCTGGGCTTGCAGGGGTGTACCACCACACCTGGCTGTGCAGACCAATCTTAATGGCAGGTTCACATTTTTCACCTCAATCGACTACCCCTGAGTGCACAGCGGTAGATTAAGAAGTTAGCACAACAGTCAGAGTAAATATCACGGACGTCTAAGCTATCTGCTCCTGACACTGACTTGTTCCTTCCAGATTTGTCTGGGCCCAGCCTAATTTTACAATGGAATCTGGTCTTGGGAGAGAGTAAATAACATCTCTTTTTCAATGGACAGATAGTTTGGGTTGCATGGTTCCATGGTCCCAGGCATCTGGCTTCATCTAAGACCCAGCAGCTGCCCTTGAGAATAGAGTTGTTGGCAGAAGAGGGCACGGACTCACTCTAAACCCTGAGGACACCCTCTCCCACCAGAACTTGCACCCCAGAACTTCTCTGGCTGCTTCTCACACTTTCAAAAGCTTAAAATCCGGGCTATGAAGTTCAGATGGCTGGACTTAGAGGCATACTCGCTTTTTTCTGTGTGCCACTGAAAGCTGGTGGCCCTGGAGGAGTGTGCCCAGCAAATGATCCGGAAAAGCTCACACAAGGTGGAAAGTGCTACTTGGAAAATCTCAAGATGGCTATCAAGTATCGTGCATGTTTTTTTAAAAATCTATTTTATAAAAAGAGGAAGATTTAGGAATTTAAAATATGGCAAAAAAATACTGTTACTTTTTTTAAATGTCGAGTGCCACAGTATAGAATAAATAAGATTTTTAAAACTTCAATGTTTATAGACATTTCTAAAAGTGGCTGAATTAGAAGATGTTATATAATGCTGAGCCACAAAGGGAGGAGGTTAGGCAAAAGAAAGGCAGGCATAGCATTTCACCAGAATGAAAAGTATGGTTGGAGGTTAACGGAAAACTACAGCTTTAGGCTTTGCGGTGGTATTCCAAGCTTTGCAGGGTCATTACAGAAGGGCTGTCTCTCTGATACTTAGCTGGAATAAAAAGAAATTTACTGTGTGGTCCTAAAATTAGAAAGAAACTATTCTTTTTTTTTTTTTTATCGGTACCCGGGATCGAACTCATGACCACACACTTGCAAGGCAGGCACTTATGCCAGTGAGCTAAATTCCCAGCCCCAAAAAAGAAAGTATTCTTTTAATAAACCTGGTGTGCAAAGTGAGAAGGAGCAAAAATTCAAAATTAGTTGGAAGTACTGAGGTTGAGGTTTTTTTTAAAGTAATATAATAAAATAAGATTAATGCACTCACCTGGCTGAATTGGAACCTTTGCAATTACAAAATTAAATTTGCAAGTACACACTTCATTTTTCCACTTCTTTTTTGAGGCAGGTTCTCACTACATAGTTCAGGCTGGCCTTGAACTCACAGTAATCTTTCTGCCTCAGCCTCCTGAGTGATGGGATTATAATAGGTGTGTGCTGCCATGCCCCGCTCTAGGTTAGTTTTGATTATCTCTTTATTATGAGTTATGTTTTTGTTGTTTTTTTTCTCCCAGGACTGTGGGCTGAACAGAAGGCCTTAGTACTAGGCTATCTACTCAGCCAATTTTTTATCTTTTATTTTTATTTTTATTGTTTTTTTGTCTTTTTCCTTTATATTTTTTGAGACAAGTGCTCAGTAAGTTCCCAAGGTGGGAGACCAACTTGCAAACCTCCTGCCTCTGCCCTTCTTAGTCCTGGTATTACACATGTGCCACTCACCCGACTTCACCTGGAAAGTCGTTGTAAGGATGCAGGAGAATCTCATAGGTGCTTGAGCACACGTCCATCTGGGCTCACTTGGTCTGTGGCTAAGAGCCAGAGCTCAAGGCTAGTTTAGTTCCCTGGGGTCTGACGCAACTCTAATCCTCCATAGCAGACATCAGTGTGTGTGCATTTAGCATGAGCCAAATGCTGTGCTAAGTGCTCAGTAGGTCTTACTTTTTCTACCTGGGGAAACTGAGGCACAGAAACGTTTTAGTTCCAGACCCACTGTCTCATGTGCCAAGAAAGAAACCTTCAGGACCTGATTTCTTCCAGGAAGTTTGGCAAGGCTCACTGAGGTACAATGTGGAAGGAGTTTTGGGGTAAGGCAGCAAGGAGAGGGACCCAAAGGACAAAGGCTGACAAGTGCAAAGGCCCTGAGACAGGAGGTATCACAAACAGGTGCAGCCAGTGAGACTGGACTCAGACTGGAGCGGGTAAGGAACAGGCTGGAGGGTCAGGCAGAAGCTGCTGGGTCCAGAAGTGAGAACAGATTGGCCCACCGGACCCCACTGGGATGAGGATGAATTAGGGAGACTGTGGTCTATACAGAAACATGACCACTCTACTTAAAAGCTAAAATAAACAATATGGTCTTTACCTAAGGAAACTAGGGGGAAGCTTTTGCTTTGGGCCAGGTGATTTTTCTCTGCGTCCTCCCTCCCCTATTTAAATATCGTAGTGTCACACACACATGGTAAACACACGGTAGTATGTACAGGCTGGTTAATTTTTATGTATGTATAACCCCAGATAACCGAAAGGTCTGACGAAGGTACAGAGCTTCCTATCCTCCCACATCCCCCTTCCATCTGGCATCCTCCAAAGGGAACCACCAGTCTGACCTCCAGTACTGGATTGTTTCTGGCCGCATTTTAAAAACTAAAGTTATAACCTAGTAAACTTTTACCTTGGTAAACTGGACACGGTGGTGGTGCACACCTGCAATCTCAGCTGAAAGAAGAGAGCAAGTTCCAGGCCAGCCTGGACTACAAGGTGAGACCTTGTGCACTCTCCCTCCCCCAACCACTAACTCATTCTATTTCATCTATCTCTGTACAAACAGAGAAACGCGCTGATCTTAAAGGGCCAGTCTGGACGTTTACTTATACGAACAGCTGGGCACACTTCTTAGCAGGCCACCGGATTCCCGGACTCTTCCAGGCAGTTGAGGCCCAGCAGGGGTCTCCGGAGGTCGCCTGGCCACAGGGTTCTTTAGCTCCCGGGTCCCAAGCCCCTCCTTGCTCCCCCACAACCCCCTGCCAGGCCTGCCCGTTCTCTCCCAAACCCGAGCTTTGTTGTGCGTGAGAAGTCCACCATCTACCTGGGCAAACCCAGCCTAGAGACCAGAGGGTCACCCTAAGTTATGAGTCTAGGGATTGGTTCCGAGATCCACACTACGCGGCAGAGCCGCGCCCCTCGGGCTTTAGCTCCGCGGCGCCGGGGTCTTCCTGCGCGGACCTCACACGCCCAAGCTGAGACGCTGTACACCCATCTCGTCTGCCCCGCACCCCTCTGCCCGAGACGTGCGCAAGCGCAGAACGATGCGCGACCCGCCCAGGCACCCCTGCGCACGCGCCGGCCCGCAATCTCAGCAGCCCACTCGTCGCCCCGCCCCCGGTCAGGGTCCTACGGAGAGCCGCGAGGACCGCTCCGCCGGCTGGCCGCGGGCCGAGGGCGGGGCGGCGCGCTGAGGTCAGCGCGGTGGTGGCCGGCCCGGCGTTGGTTGGCTGCGCCGAGCTGGCCGCGCCCTGGTTGGCTACGGGCCGCGGGCTGGGCGGCCGGCCGGGCTGGGGTCGGAGCTCGGGCGCCGGCCGGGCTTGCGCAGCGCTCGGCTCTGCGGCGCTCCGGGTCGGCGGGAGGGCGCGGCCGCGCGGCGGAGGGCGGGGAGGGAAGGCGGTGGCGCTGAGGGGCGGAGAGCGGCCCATGGACCCGCGGGGCCCGGCGCCCCAGACTCCGCGCCGCTGCGACGGAGCCCAATATGTCGGCCTAGGCCGGGGCGCGACGACGCGGACTGCCGGGGCTCGCGGCCACCAGGTGCCCGAGGGCTGGCGCTGACGGCCGGGCGGTGCGCAGGGGCCCGCGCGAGGCGGGCGGGCGGGGGTCGCGTGGCACCATGTCGGCTAAGGTGCGGCTCAAGAAGCTGGAGCAGCTGCTCCTGGACGGGCCATGGCGCAACGAGAGCGCCCTGAGTGTGGAGACGCTGCTCGACGTGCTTGTGTGCCTCTACACCGAATGCAGCCAGTCGGCGCTGCGCCGCGACAAGTATGTGGCCGAGTTCCTCGAGTGGGGTGAGTGACCCTCTGCGACCTCGGGGCCCCGCGACCGGCCCTCCCCTCATCCTGTGCCGGGAGCCACATCCTCCGTCCCCTCTCCCCCCGCCGGGCCGTCGCCCTGGTCGCTTCCTAGACCCACCCTCCGGGTCTGGAGATCATTTCCTGCGGCGCTCCCCGGGACATCCGCCCCGCCCCCGCCTCGCCCCTCGCCCTTGGGGTCTCGGGGAGGCCTGAACGCTTGTCCTAGTATCCAGCCGCACAAGCCTTTTGCGGCTCCGGGCGCCCCATGGTCCCTCCCTGTGGGCATCTCTTGGGAGCCCAGCCCTGACGGCCCTCCGGTGACAGCCTGACCACATCCCCTCGGTGTCCAGGCCCTGGATCCCCTCTGGCACCTTCAAGGGAATTTTGAGGTTCACAAGCCTTGTATTTATGCCATGCAAGAGCAAATTGATGCTTTTTTCCCCTTACATTGTAATTGTGCCACACCCTTGTTGATATTTAGGCACTAGCTGAGACTGTCACTTAACTTCTTTTCATCTGATCTTTGCATGCCCCCTCTAGTTCATTTAGGGATCTGTAATGCTTAACCATTGATCAGATAATCCATTACGCTTTATTGGGACAAAAATTTGATTAAACCACATAATGATATTAGGATTCTCTAGACGTCAAGACCCTCGTCTATAGGAGGAAGCAAGGCTCAGGTTTAGGTGAAAGCCTATGAAAATATTACCCTTGAGTCTGGTGCATCTTTGAGCTAGAACTGTGCAGTTTGAATCGGAAATTTCTAATCTTTGGGGCTGATAAAGCTGGTATTTACGTGAGACAAGTAAATGTGTTCCATATTCAGGTCTCCTAACTCTGCTACCTGGTGACTGAAATTTGGAATTTTATTCATACATAAATCTTCACTTGCAGTATTTAAAAGACTCCTGTGTGTTGCTGTTCAGTGAGATGTTACTCCATGCTTCTGAGAGATACCCTGTGTGCTTTGTTTCACGGGACAACCATCCCATAAGAGACCTGGGGACTCTGAAAGAACATAATTGAGAGGATGACCCTTCTCAGTCTTCTGTCAATGATTTCCAACTGGATAATTAACTGACTTCACAGTTTCTTTGAAAGGGAGCTGTTTGGTGCTTGTTATGATCTGTGCCTTCTTAGTATTGTATTTGCCTTTCTATTCTGAGCCCTTGAAATCCGGAGTGCCTCAGTCAGATTCAGCTGTGTGCACAGTAGATGAGCTACCTGTGCCAGTGAGAGGGAAGCAGAGAGGAGATTGGCTTACCTGAGGAGGTGTGGTCCAGAGCTGGAAGGCGGGGTGTTCTTACTGCCAGGATCTTGTGGCCTTCAGGCTTTCTGGAGGAAGCTCTTCTCAGCAGGTGATGTCAGACCTCTCCAAATGAAAATAGAAGCTGTGTGCTGAAATATGGATGTATTTTCAAAATTGGCTCCTGGAAATTGTGATTACAAATAAATTACATTGTCTTAAGCACTCAGTTTGCTCAGAAGTGTAAATTTTACAGAGAAGACCAGGCATACATACACACTGGCATTTTTTTTTTTCCTCTTGTAATTTGCTTTTACACAGTGGCATTTTAAAGAAGTGATCACATATTTTAGAAGTATGCTCCTTCCTCGCATGTATACACCATTCTAACAGCAGAGAGGTGTGTTATTAGGGAAGGTGAGTGTTCCGTGTTACTTGTAATTGCCTAGTTATTTTGATGGGAAGCAAAGAATGGTCTAATAAAACCTCACAGAGCATTATTATTTACCTGTCTTTCCAAGTAGCAAGATTCCTGGAAATGTGTCTAGGCAGCAGCCTGTGGATTGTTGAGTTTTTGAGTTCATGCTGATGTTTGAGACCTCTGATCTGTTGCTTCCTGTCTTGCAGAGAGCCAACCTTTCTACCCACTGTCTAAATCTTGCTAGGTGTATAATGACAATTATATAGAATTCTTGAAATTTTCAGAAGAAAAACAGTGTGACTCAGGTCAAATTTTGAGATTTATTGGGGATTTTGAGGCAGTTTGGAAAATGTAAGTAATAGTTTTTTAGTTTTAAAAGAAAATTATTGCTGGCTTTTATTTTTGTGTTACTACAAGTGGTTACATGAGACGAATCATCTGAGCTTTCATTGTAGGGTTTTGTCTTTAATTTTCCTTTGATTATGTTAATAGTTTGATTAGTTTCCTCTGTGAAATTCTGGACCTTAATTAAAAGTTGGAAATACCCTGTTTTGGATGTCTATTTCTTTAAGCTATTTTTTAAAATGTAAATTTGATACCCTTTGAAACAGAGTATATGAGCCACTTTTAAATTTCCATTAGCAAGTAGTGATAAACATAAATAACCCAGTGAAGTAAATATGGTGTCTTTCATCTTTCTTATAGACTAATGCTTTTTAAGTGTATGAGCTAGTGTCAGACTTGAATGGAGCTGACATTCGAAATCCCAGCCTGTTGTCATAGTAGTTCTCTGCCTATGGCCCCTGGGTAGCCTGGTGGCATCTTGGCTTCCCAGTTCTTGCTCTCCGCCTTCATCTTTTGCCATGTGCCCCCATTACTGTGTAGAACTAATCTTTCTGGGCCTCTGGTTCGTTGCATGCTTTGTGGTTTTTCTTATGGAGTTCTCCAGTAGATGTAACCTCCAGTAGCTGTCTGGGAAGGCGTGTGGGAGTGGGAGGCCCTGAGTTAGTAAGGAGGGCCTACCTGATGGCGGTAAACATCTCCAGACGCCTGGAGACTACCTGGTCTCTCTAGATAAAATGTGCAACATGGGAACATTAAGATTCAGGGTTCAGTAAAACCCAGATTACAGAGAAATAAGGGGCTGCTTGATGAAATTTAGGTTAACATAATTTAGATACTGTAAATAGCTCCTTGAAACTCGCACTGGTGCTGACTACGTGGAGTGAGACTGGACAGTGGAGGCCATTAACGTTAACAAGCCTGCCTTGCTTTTTCTCTCCTCAGACCTCTTCATGGACAGTTGGGCTTTGAAGTGTACAGCAGTGTCTGTGTTAGGTGTTTAAGTAAATAAAAGCAGAGTTGAAGAATCGTTCTTGGCCCAGGCTACACTGTGAGGGCTGCTGGACCAGTGAGTGCTGGGCAGAGACACTCAGATGCTAGTCCAAGAATGCATAGCTCTGCGGGCTGGCAGGCAACTCCTCTCCGGTCACTCGCCTGGCCTCTTGTCCCCAGTGTCCTGTCTGCTGACATCAGTGATGCGGGACTGGTGGCCTTGGGCAGGGCTGTTAATTCCAGATTGGGGCAAGCGCAGACATGAGACCAAATACTTCTTTTTTTTTAATCAAAAAGAGGATATATAAGATAAAAATTTTTTTGAATGAATTGAAAATATCCTTGGGTTACACTGTAACCATGTAATCTTACCTCAAACTCCCTAACAACATTTTCGGACCCTTGAAGTTTTGTTGTTGAATTTCCAGGGTTGGAATGACAGGATTTTAATGTTTTGTTAAGTTTATGTGGGACCCTAACACTCAAGCCCTCTTGCTGATGAAATTCAGGAAGAATGCACACTTTTTCTCAACCTGAAGTCACAGATTAGCTGAGTGTTGTGGTGGACACCTATAATCCCAGCACTCAGGAGGCCGAGGTGAGATGGTGACTGAGTTCAAGGGCAGCCTGACCTACATCGTAACACTGTCTCAAAAACCCAAAAGTAAACAAAATGACAGGCTTCCGTCACTGAGCTAAGTAGGTCCCCATACCCCTACATATACGGTAATGTTGTGGAACCCTTCATGTATTTAAAATCTAACAAGCATTTTGTGTGAAAATAAAAGCAATACTTCTTATGAGGTAGAGGTCACTCTTCCCAGTTTGGTTTTAAACAGTCTGTTGAAGGCTGGGGGTTTTGCTCTTTTCGTCTGACATGGTCTTAGACCTCAGGCCTGCTTGCTGCTGCCCGCTCTGAAAGATCTCAGTTTACTTTTGCCTTTTCTTTCTGTTCCATCAGCAGTGGCCTCACTAAAGCACTGGAATGTCTTTCTAATCAGAAGTTTAGATGACCTCTGCCAGGTCATTCTCATGGCTGTTCATCTCATCTTTCTACCTTTCAAAAGCTTGCATCATGGCTACATATTCTGGTATCTTTAAAAAGTCAGGTGTGAAATGTACAGGCCAGTGTTCAAAATTAAAATTGGCCTAGAAAGATACCTGTGACCTGTAGAAGTTAAGGTTGACAGCATGTCTGATCATACTCTGTGGGGTGATTTTCTTTCGATAGCATCTTACCTTTACTAGCGTATTTCCTTAGACTGAAAAGCCAAGTGGTGCTGCCGAGCAGTAACACAAAGCCGCAGTGCGCCGCCCCTGCCTGCTGTGGGCTTGGACTTCCGTGACAGCCACTTTTGACTCCTCTTTCTGCAGTCACCACTGAGTTAGGATCACATTCAGCTGCGGGTAGTAGAGATAGGAGCCAGGTGACAGGATCTCACATAAAGAAGGTTGATTTCCCTCGTGTAGCTCTGAGGTGTCCAGAGCCCTTAGCTAGCAGGAGCAGGAAGTACTTGGGGCTTGGGCCCTGCCTGGCCTGAGTCTGGCTGCTTCCTCAGGTGGCGGTCCCTCTTCCCGAGACTGAGGGGCAGGATGGAGCTATTGTATCACCAGGAAGACCCTTTGATGTAGATGGTTATTTACTTATTTATTTGGTGCCAAGGATCAGGTGATTATTTTTTTATTCAACAGTTGCTCCCCAAATCCATGTTTCAAAGCTTTTACCGCTAATTTCTTTTCTTTTTTTTTTTTTTTTTTAATTTGAGTCAGGATCTCTATGCAGTTCAGCCTGGCCTTGAGCTCACTTTGTAGCCCAGGCTGGTCTCAAACTCACCATGATCCTCCTGCCTCAGCCTCTCAAGTGCTGGGATTACAGCCGTGAGCCACCACGCCTGGCTCTAATTGTTCTATTCTTTTCCCCATGCTGGGCATGGAACCTAGGGCCTTGCACATGGCAGATGCAGGTCTTCCCCTGAGCTGCATCCCCAG